AATCTAACCCACATGTATATATGTGGTATAATTAGGAGTTTGGATTCCCTTGATTATATTTGAACTCAAAAATCTAAGGAGAGAGCTCCAGAGGGAGAGAGACTTCAAGTTCTAGAGAGAGAAGAAGCCAGAGAACTTGGAATTTGACAACGAAATTGGAAAATTGGGTAGAACAACTCAAGATCTTGCCAAGGTTTGTGAATTCTAGGTGAGTGTTTATGCCTTAATTCATGAGTTTAAGTTATTTCAAATGTGAATTCAAGAGGATTATGTGAAATGAGTACAAGAATTGAGCTAAGATTGTTGAATTTAGAGGCAATTCATACATGCATGCATAATTTTGTTGAGTTTCACCATTTTTGAGCATGATTATCTCATCCACGTTGAATTTGGAAGATGAATTATACATACGTGCATGAATTACAAGGTTTCGAAAGTGAATTGTATGTTTTTGAAACTTTGGAATAGAATTTGAAATCAAAATCAACATGCATGAAGATTTAGGTTTCATTTTGAAGAATTCTTGAAGTATTGAGATTTGATTTTTGCAAATTGGTTTTGTATTCATGTTCTTGGAAGATTTTCCAAGTGTTTTCAAGATGTTGTCAAGCCATGCAAAAAATTGATTTGAAAATACAAGCTTTGAAGTTCAATTCTATTATGGAATTTCCAGAATTTTGTCTCACTACTCGAGCGCACATTTCATGCATCCAGTATTTTTGCAGACAATTGCAGTTGGCTCGAGCAACAAAATCACCACTTGAGCAACTAGCTTTTATTTTGCACCTTGGCTCGAACAAAGATTGAGCCTGGATTTGGACCATCTAGTACTTTTACAAACCTAGTGATCCACTCGAGTGACCGATGTTGCGCTCGAGCAAACTATCTTGTTTCTGCATATTTTGGAAGGCATGTTTTACTCATTCTGGGATCCTTATTCCTTCATGGGCATTCTTAGGCATGAATTGAACGTCCTAAATGAATTAAAGAGTTAGAAAGAAGCCTAAGAGAATTGAATAAATTAGAGAACGATTCGAATAAGTAATGTGACCTAATGTGTGTATATTTATGAATTGTGTAGGATCATCCTCGAGGACGAATCAATAACTGAATCACTGTAAGTAATATCTTAGTAAAGATATTTGCTTAATTACTCTATTTTCTATATATCCTACTGTGGTATGCTTTTCGGACTTATGATTTTGTAAGTGTGAATGAGTTCATATCTGTCTGATCAACGTGATATTTGTAAATGCGATTGATATGACAAGAATGTGTATGATGGACCTAAGGTCGTTTTGTAAAATTGAATTGGACCCAAGGTCGTTCCGAATATCTTACAAGATGGACCCAAGGTCATTCTGAATATCTGATCAATCTAAATATCTGTTATGAGTTGGTCGAATTGTCATTCTATAGCTATAAATGATTGGACCCAAGGTCGTTCCATTAATATATGATCAATTATGTTCTGTACATTTGTTATCTGTTAGACCCGTGGTCGTTCCGCCATCTGTTGGACACAAGGTCGTCCCGCTACGAATTGCTTATGATATGGAAAAGCTTTTGTCACTTAACAGAACTTATTTACATAACCCTTTTACTTTGATGTTATTTACTGGACGTTATCTTACTCCGTTATATATATGTATGTAGGTGAGAGGCGGAATGTCCAGCCCCAGCCTTAGTGAACCTGTGAAGGATACCAAGTTTTTGTTTCATCTGTCTTTTGAATTGCTATCTTCTTTTATCGGTCATGTTTGACCTTGTATATATATATATATAAGTTCTGGTTCTATATGACAATGATGTATGAAACATCTTGAATATATGGAATCTTATTATGTATGTATGAGTATGAGTTATTAATATATAAAAAGTTTTTGTTTATGTCATTCATGCACAAGTTCATTGGACAAATAATATATATCTACTTCTGCTTCTGGCCCCATATACTTAATTATGATTTAATTTTGTCTGAGGCCGTAAGTAATCTCATGATTACTAACCGGTTATGATCCAAACCTCTATGGACGTGTTCGGGTCGTGACAGTTTTTTTTTAATATAAATCACTTAATTTAATATTTTTTTATTTTACTTTTAGAGTTAGATTCACTTAATTTAAATACAGTTAGAAAATAATTTGTTGTGTATTCTTTTTGAAAAAAAATAATAATAATAACAACAAAATATATATAATAAAAAATCAGTACATGTTTGAATTTATAAAAAAAATTATTAGTATTTTACTTTTTAATTCTATTTAGATTATTAGATATTAGATTTTCATGTAAACATATAATTTAAATATAAAATATGAAAAAATTCCAGTATTTTTAATCACCAAAACTGAGAAAATATGAAAAATCAAAAACCAAAACACGAATTTAAAAATAAAAATAAAAAAAAAAACAACGAAAGTGGTTCTTATATAGAATTTTGACATCATATCTTGGTCATTAAAGTACCATATAAAATACTATAGTTCATAAAATATATTTTAAATAAAAAGAAAATGTATGAAAATAACCCGCGAATTTTTTAGATGTAGCACAAATCGCTGTTTTAAAAACGCATGCATTTGTCAAGATTCGAATGAATGCATACAACTTTAAGATTTAACCAAAATTATTCATAGTGATTTGATCCACGATGGACAATTGTAAAAACTATGTATATCAGTATAGAAGTAGATAGAGGAAATAAAAAAGAGTAATTTTTTTTTGTTCTTCAATCATCATCAATGCTAAAAATAGGGATATGACTTCTTTTTTTTTTTTTTTTGATAAAAAGGAAGACGGTTTATATATATTTATATAGGACTTTTGTAAGCAAATATATCGTTTTTGAGTGTTCAACTCTAAAAATAAAGAGATAATTGATTTATATAGGACTCTTCATGACTTTTAGAAAATATAATAAATTTCAAAGGGTAAAATTGAAATTTAGAAAAGTTAAAATTATGACAGACTCTTTACACTTTTATAATAGTAGTAGATTAACCCATTGTTTTTTTAATATTTTTTTTTGGTTGACTTTTTTGTTTTTAGTGATTTTAAAAGGGGAATTAAAAAAAAAAAAAAAAAAAAAGAGTAAGGTTTCAAACATTTTTCACTTTAAATTCCAAAACGATTCTCCGTTACCTTATACAGATGAATATAGACCAAGAGGGAGGGGCACATTGAAACACAGATAAAACTTCACGATTTAATTCGTCAGAATTAAAATATTAAAATTTAAAATAAAAAACACTACTTTTTTTTTTTTTGTAATCTACTCTTTTTAATTTTATAAACTTAGAATTAAAAATAAAAAAATTTGACACAACTCACATAGTATTAGTGGGTCATGATTGATAATTTTTGTGATAAAATTATATTTTTTATTAGGGACTGGCTTCCCTCCAGTCCAATCATGGATTGGAGCACGTGGGGGCCAACCACGGGTCTCGTTTCGATAATCTGAACCGTTTAATATATAAAACTTGTCAAGTATTATATGACTGTAAAAAAATCACGTTGATCGTATATTGATAACTATGTGATCAAATCAGTTTTGTATGGAAAAAAAATGAACGGTGAAAAATAAACGGCTTACAAAAATCTGATTTGATCACATAACTATCGATATCCGATCAACGAAATTTTTTACAGACATATAGTACTCAACGAGCTCTACACATTGAACGATTTGAATTATCAAAACGGAACCCATAATGAACCCCACGAGCCTAATAGTACCCTGGAGGGAAGTCATTCCCTTTTTATTATATAAATTATGTTTTTTGTAACAAAAAATAGGGCAAATTACACTAACAATCCCTATAGTTTGAGACTTATGTCACTTTAGTTCTTAACTTTTCAATTGTGACACTTTTGACCCTGAATTTTAAATCTTGTTCCAAATAAGAACAATTGAAGATACCATTGTTTAATTTCAATGGCAAAATCGTCAATTTAATAAAATATAAACTAATTTCACAAAAATAAATATTAAAAAAATATTTTTAATTTTTTAAAAATTATTTCTATCCACTAAAGATAAAATTATGTAAAATTGATCAAAATTAATAAAAATTACATAATTAATTTTTTAAAATTAATTTTACATTATCATCATCCAAACACAAAATAAAAATTAATTTGGTAAAAATAAATAAATAAATATCTAAAAGATTTATCAATTTTACATAATTTTATCTTTAGTGGCTAGAAATAATTTTTAAAAATTTAAAAATATTTTTTTGACATTTATTTTTGTCAAATTACTTTATATTTTATCAAATTGACGATTTTACCCTTGAAAAATCTAATGATATCTTCAATTGTCCTTTTTTAGAACAAGATTCAAAATTCGAAATCAAATGTGTCATAATTGAAAAATCAGGGACTAAAATGACACAAGTCCCAAACTATAAAGACTATTAGTGTAAATCACCCCAAAAAATATACATTTTGTATAAAACACATACCATTTACGCCCTTTTTTTTTAGACGTACACGTGGTAGCCTTTCCTAAAAGAAAGATAATATAACTTGAACTAAAATTTGATATTTACCAAATTTGACATACAATATATCAATACTATATTTTGGAAGCAATATTAGGAATCTCCAAAATAAATATAAATAAATAAAAAGTCATCAAAATTCTACACAATTCTCATATGAGTGTGTAGGACAGAGACGTACAACACTCACTCCCATATGAATTTTATGTAAAATTTTTAACAATTTTTAAAAAAAATCTCTAGTATTTGTGATATTTCAACAATTCTTTTAATATATCATTGGAATTTATTTTTTAGCTGAAATTGATAAAATTTAGCAACAATAAACACAACAGCAACTCTAACAAAACTCACTAATAATAATAAACAAAATCCCCTGCAAAGCACTGTCATCTTTACTAGTATATATATATAATCCCAAATCCAAGATAAGCTAATCAACTATCTCAAAAAGGGACCAGTACGAATTGGGAGACATCACCAAACAAATTGAACAAAAAGCCTTAATTTTAAGTCAAAATCATTTTTCAGGTTACAAATTCACCCAGGATGAAAAATCCCTAATTACTGAGTATTAGCTGCATATGAATGATCTACGCTCTTTCCTGCGAAAAATTTCATCCAACAAAATAAAAATAAAATATTAAATCATAAATAATTTTCAGCATTTCGCTTACTTTTTCCTGCGAAAGAAGGCACGCAAGAAGTAGACCAACAAAATACATGGTCATTACATTTACTTAGATGACCTTAAGGCATTTTAACAAGTAACTAATGAAAAATAGGTTATACTAATTACTAATTACTAATTACAAGGTTACACTACAATCACCAAAATCGCATGAGGAATGCTAATTGGCGTATCTGTCACACAAACTTTCACTGAATCATGATTCCTTCAAATTGTTTACATTTTCTGGCTTTGGGAAGACGGTGGAAAGCTGCTTCTCCAACTCTATCAGACTATAAAGTAAAAGAACAAAGCAATAACCAAACAAAGAAAAAAGATGAAGTATTACATCTAAAACACTAGTCAGGAAACTGCAAATAAGCAAAACAATGTGATCTTAGATCAAGTAAACAAACAGATTTTAATTCTGACTTACATCTCATATTTACGAAAAGCTTCACTGCGTTTTGCTACATATATGTCACTATCTATAGGCAGATTGTTCATAGTGCCTGCAAAAGTGATTTCAGAGAATGGGTTAATTATTTAGTCGATTGACAATTATTAAGCATAAAATTAGTAATAAGCCAGAAAAAAATTTGAAAATGCCATTGACTTACTATACAGCGTAAGGCATCTAATCCATTTTATAACAGCAAATGTCAAGGACAGTGCACCAGTATGGATGCAATACCTTCTTAGTTTACACAACTTCACAGCCAAAATAAAAAGGGAACCAAATATAATTAAAGAGAAGCTTACATATAGTATAGTAATATATTTCTGGACATAAAGACATTTCCTGCATCTCAAGTTGACTCCATCATGGATCATTGTATCAAATTTTAAACATATCAGACAAGCAACAAAAATGAGAAGTGACACTCTAGACAGTAAGGAATGGTTTGAGCAACCTACCAATTCCGGGAGTTTATTGCACACTACAGAAAGGAATTCCAAGAACCCTGCGAAATAATAAGACCTTTGTAAGTTGCTTATAAATTGCAACTTCAACGGGTTGTTACTAGGTTCCACGACTGAAGTGATGCCACCTAGGGTCTATCTAGAGTTTGACTCCTACTGGAGAACCAAACTAGGTGTATATCTGATTCTCAGCAAATAGTTCTGTAACCAATCATCTACAAAGAATTGACAATCAAGAATAGTCAATAAAAAAGTGCTGAAAATTGTTAAGAAATGCAACAAACCTAATTAACATGGTTTTACATTTCATAAATCCCTTTCAGAATAATGTAATTTAAATGGGGTAAATTAGCCAGATCTTGGATCAACTAGTATATCAACATAGGGGTCCAATTCACTCTCCAGATGAGTTGGGATCTGGGGCAGCCTGCACGCAACCCATACCAATCCTATACTACCTTAGTTTTCCCCAAGCACTGGTGGTGGTTAAACCACTACAACTGAATCTCCTACTGATCTGATGCCTTCACTCAATCAAATGCACTTGTCTCTTGTAATAACCCGACCCTCGTATATGTTTTCTGATATGCTTTCAGTCCCTTATTCTGTGTATTTGTGTGCTTGCTGTGAAATTCCATGTGAAATTAAGTTTAAGTGAGTGGATCTTATGATTAGAGATTCATATCTGTTTAATAAGAGAAATATCTGCTGCAATTATGATGTTCAGATCAGAAACTAGAAGCCTTAGAAGCTTGATAATCTGAAATTGATTTTATATTTGAGTTCAGCATAATTTTTAGATCATAATATGATTTTCTGTAAAAATCTGATTCGGAATGAATAAACTGATTGATTTTTATTTTAATCCACTTTTATATATATATGTGTATATGTCTCTTTAAACATTTGACTTGGAAAGCCATTTCGTAAATATCTCCTGAGAGAGAGTTAGAGAAGAAGAACAAAGGGGATAGAACTTCACCAAGGAAGAGATTGGGAATTTGAGAAGAATTTGAGAGATTTAAGCTCAAGGTAAGTTTAATTCACCTTGTCCAACCTTTTTCTTGGAGTTGAATAAGAATTCCCTTTCATGCAAGCTAGGGTTTGCTTTTGAGATCAAATGTGTGGCAATTGTTCTATAGGAAAGTATTCTTAGCATTTAGTTGTTTTGGAGGAATTGTAACTTATCCCTTGAATTCTCATGTAGAAATTACATGGTTGTACATGTGTATTGTTGGGCATGCTTAAAACATTTGAGTTGTGTTGGTGAAATTGAAAAGGGTTAACTTAATTGAGCTCATGACTCATGATTCTTGTGGCATTATACACTTGTAACCCATGTTACTGTGATGTTGAACCATTGTATTGCATTAATTTTCCTTATTTTGTGCTTTATATTGAATTTACCAAGTTGAAGAGTTGCTTCAAATCGAATGGCACAAAACAAGGTTCCGACCGCACGTGCGGGAAGCACAGCCGCACGTGCAGAAAACAGGAGACTTTGGGACTGAAGATACTGAAATTAAAGCACGTGCGGGGCTCACCGCCGCACGTGCGGCCCATGCTGAAAAACCCTGTCTGCTCCGTTTTACGTGTTTGACCCTCTGGTATTATTAAAATCTGTATTTAATGCCTTTAAAATGTTTGTAAATTCATTCGAAGCGAAACGAATCAGATATTGTTTAAAGAGAGAAATGGACTAATTTCTGAACTGCGTGTGCATGTAGGGCGCAAACCGGAAGGAACTATCGCTCCTCCACAACACTGTGAGCAATAGTACTGTAGTAGTACATTTGCTTATCGTTATTAATCATTATTAACGCTCTGTTATCCGCAAGTTAATTATGCCAACCTACTTTAACGAATGGAAAATCTGTGTACATCTGTACAACTCTGGAAGTATTCTGCTTCGTTAGTATCTGGGCCAAAGGCCGATCTGTAAAATCTGTTAGGCCTAAGGCCAATCTATAAAATCTGTTGGGCCTAAGGCCAATCTGTAAAATCTGTTAGGCCTAAGGCCGTTCTGTATGTTACTGGGCTTGAAGCCGCTCTGAATAAAGATTGGGCCCAAGGCCGTTCTAAAAATGTATACAGAATAAGCTTACTCATATGATCTCTGCACTTATATACATTGTGATTCAAGTTTAATCATTAAATTGTTTGAGTACTATTATTCACTGAGCCTTGCTCACTTTGTGTTATGTCTGTTTCTGTAGGCAATCAACCTGGAGGTCGGTCTTAGTTCAGCTTTGGTCACTCCTTTTTGGTCAAGCAATGTAGAGAAGCTTATGCATTTTGTGGGGTTCCCTTAATGACCCCTAGTTTGGTCCTTAATCTTTTGTCTAATGTGATTAGTCGTGTATAATCTTCTTCACCAATATTTTTGTTGTATGCCCACATGCGGGGCTAGTTCTGTATATATGCCCATAAATGTAATTGTGTGTATGCAAATAGCTACTTCTGGTATATTTGTCTATCACATGAGGAACTGTTTAATGACATGGAGATCCTGGCATATAGGTGTGAGCTCGGTGGATGTTAATTTACGTTATATTATGTTATTAAATACTTCCGTTTAGGCCCCATATGTTGTATATATCAGATTGGCAGTTCGTGTTAAAACCTATCACCTACTTCACCCACTAAACCTAACCCACTACACCACTACCACCTCACCTACTCCACTAAACCTAACCCACTACACCACTACCACCTCCACTTTACCTACTCCATCTACCACCTACTACCACCTACTCTTCTATATATAGGAATCATTGTAACATTCAATAGATCAATCAATAATACAATCAATATCTATACAATTCTCTATTTCTCTTTATACATTAAATTTCTATATATAGGAATCATTGTAACATTCAATAGATCAATCAATAATACAATCAATATCTATACAATTCTCTATTTCTCTTTATACATTAAATTTTCTACAGTTCGTTTCTGAAGTGATCATGCCCAAACTTTTAGGGGCGGGTTTAGGGGCGTGACATCTCTACTGTGACTCGTACTCCACAGCTTATGCAACGGGTTCTATCTCGACCTGTCCCTCCACTCTCTACCCAATGCCTTTATGACGTATTCATATCCAAAACTAGTAACTAGAGAGAAAAAGAAGAAAACATCATCTACAAAGAATTGACAATCAAGAATAGTCAATAAAAAAGTGCTGAAAATTGTTAAGAAATGCAACAAACCTAATTAACATGGTTTTACATTTCATAAATCCCTTTCAGAATAATGTAATTTAAATGGGGTAAATTAGCCAGATCTTGGATCAACTAGTATATCAACATAGGGGTCCAATTCACTCTCCAGATGAGTTGGGATCTGGGGCAGCCTGCACGCAACCCATACCAATCCTATACTACCTTAGTTTTCCCCAAGCACTGGTGGTGGTTAAACCACTACAACTGAATCTCCTACTGATCTGATGCCTTCACTCAATCAAATGCACTTGTCTCTTGTAATAACCCGACCCTCGTATATGTTTTCTGATATGCTTTCAGTCCCTTATTCTGTGTATTTGTGTGCTTGCTGTGAAATTCCATGTGAAATTAAGTTTAAGTGAGTGGATCTTATGATTAGAGATTCATATCTGTTTAATAAGAGAAATATCTGCTGCAATTATGATGTTCAGATCAGAAACTAGAAGCCTTAGAAGCTTGATAATCTGAAATTGATTTTATATTTGAGTTCAGCATAATTTTTAGATCATAATATGATTTTCTGTAAAAATCTGATTCGGAATGAATAAACTGATTGATTTTTATTTTAATCCACTTTTATATATATATGTGTATATGTCTCTTTAAACATTTGACTTGGAAAGCCATTTCGTAAATATCTCCTGAGAAAGAGTTAGAGAAGAAGAACGAAGGGGATAGAACTTCACCAAGGAAGAGATTGGGAATTTGAGAAGAATTTGAGAGATTTAAGCTCAAGGTAAGTTTAATTCACCTTGTCCAACCTTTTTCTTGGAGTTGAATAAGAATTCCCTTTCATGCAAGCTAGGGTTTGCTTTTGAGATCAAATGTGTGGCAATTGTTCTATAGGAAAGTATTCTTAGCATTTAGTTGTTTTGGAGGAATTGTAACTTATCCCTTGAATTCTCATGTAGAAATTACATGGTTGTACATGTGTATTGTTGGGCATGCTTAAAACATTTGAGTTGTGTTGGTGAAATTGAAAAGGGTTAACTTAATTGAGCTCATGACTCATGATTCTTGTGGCATTATACACTTGTAACCCATGTTACTGTGATGTTGAACCATTGTATTGCATTAATTTTCCTTATTTTGTGCTTTATATTGAATTTACCAAGTTGGAGAGTTGCTTGAAATCGAATGGCACAAAACAGGGTTCCGACCGCACGTGCGGGAAGCACAGCCGCACGTACGGAAAACAGGAGACTTTGGGATTGAAGATACTGAAATTAAAGCACGTGCAGGGCTCACCGCCGCACGTGCGGGGCTCACAGCTGCACGCCCATGCTAAAAAACCCTGTCTGCTCCGTTTTACGTGTTTGACCGACCCTCTGGTATTATTAAAATCTATATTTAATGCCTTTAAAATGTTTGTAAATTTATTCGAAGCGAAACGAATCAGATATTGTTTAAAGAGAGAAATGGACTAATTTCTGAACTGCGTGTGCATGTGAGGCGCATACCGGAAGGAACTACCGCTCCTCCACAACACTGTGAGTAATAGTACTGTAGTAGTACATTTGCTTATCGTTAATAATCATTATTAACGCTCTGTTATCCGCAAGTTAATTATGCCAACCTACTTGAACGAATGGAAAATCTGTGTACATCTGTACAACTCTGGAAGTATTCTGCTTCGTTAGTATCTGGGCCAAAGGCCGATCTGTAAAATCTGTTAGGCCTAAGGCCAATCTATAAAATCTGTTGGGCCTAAGGCCGTTCTGTATGTTACTGGGCTTGAAGCCGCTCTGAATAAAGATTGGGCCCAAGGCTGTTCTAAAAATGTATACAGAATAAGCTTACTCATATGATCTCTGCACTTATATACATTGTGATTCAAGTTTAATCATTAAATTGTTTGAGTACTATTATTCACTGAGCCTTGCTCACTTTGTATTATGTCTGTTTCTGTAGGCAATCAACCTGGAGGTCGGTCTTAATTCAGCTTTGGTCAATCCTTTTTGGTCAAGCAATGTAGAGAAGCTTATGCATTTTGTGGGGTTCCCTTAATGACCCCTAGTTTGGTCCTTAATCTTTTGTCTAATGTGATTAGTCGTGTATAATCTTCTTCACCAATATTTTTGTTGTATGCCCACGTGCAAGGCTAGTTCTGTATATATGCCCATAAATGTAATTGTGTGTATGCAAATATCTGCTTCTGGTATATCTGTCTATCACATGAGGAACTATTTAATGACATGGAGATCCTGGCATATAGGTGTGAGCTCGGTGGATGTTAATTTACGTTATATTATGTTATTAAATACTTCCGTTCAGGCCCCATATGTTGTATATATCAGATTGGCAGTTCGTTTCTGAAGTGATCATGTCCAAACTTTTAGGGGCGGGTTTAGGGGCGTGACATCTCTACTGTAACTCGTACTCCACAGCTTATGCAACGGGTTCTATCTCGACCTGCCCCTCCACTCTCTACCCAATGCCTTTATGAGGTATTCATATCCAAAACTAGTAACTAGAGAGAAAAAGAAGAAAACACCAAAACTCCAAGCAGTATTAAAGCTAGTTAAAATTACGAATTCCATTATAAGGGGCTATACTTGAGGATGAAGAATAGTGAATGATCCAAGTAAGAGGGAACAAGGTATTTAGAGTGGCATAAAACATGTGACAGAAAGAAAGAAAAAAAGAAAGAACAAATGGGGGGAAAATTGATCAAAGGGGGGTAAAGCAAAGAAACAATTGTGGAAGTAATAAAATTAACCGAGAGGGGTGCCTTGTGTTCCTCCTATACTCTTGATCAGTTGACAGCATATAGGCTGCAAAAGAAGATGCTAGAGAACACTCGCGTTGTCTTTTATTGTAATGTATGTGAAAAACACCCCCTTATAATAATTAAAATTAGGTTTCCGTAGGGGAAGGCATATAAACTCTCAAGCTCAAGACAAGAGAATACCTCTACGCATAATATATACAGTACAACTCCAAGCATGATATTTCAAAAGAGAGGGCAAAACTTCCAATACTCCTAAAGATCAACCTTAAATTTACATTGCCTCAAACCTATGATGATTATGCAGACACCAACCCACCTAAGGCAACAACTTCAGAAAATAAATGATAACAAAAGAAAATATATATGCTAGAACGAACAACAATATAATAAAGATGATAGTGACTAAAAACAAATCCCAGCTGACTGGCCCAACAATCATGCTTAAAAACAAAACAAAATTGTCACTTTTCTACAAGACATAATATATGCTGTAAGGCAAATGCAATATTTGCCCATTTTTCACCGCACCCAGGCGTCGATGCGGCGCCCCTTGCTCACTTTTCGAAACACCCGGAGGCAGGCGCAACGCGTCACTTGAGGGGAACGACCTAGCATTTAAACGATTCAAAGTAGGATTCAAAACAAAATTCACTTTTCTACAAGACATAATATATGCTGTAAGGCAAATGCAATAACACTGTAATTGAGCCATACATGGAACTGGTACTGGTAGTTTTGTGGCCCCAGTTTTGTGAACCTGTGCATAATTTGCTTTGTTGCTAGGCTGCAAGCCCTGTCAAAGAAAGCATAGCAGCTAGATAATTAGTATAAAAGTAATTACACATACACAAAATCAAGTGCAATTTTAATTATAACACCAGTAATGAACTGCAAACAGGAATCCCAAAGGCTGAACCAAGAGCAATATATCATATTTTTTAAGCAGGGGAGCTTCCTAGAGAACCGCACACAATGATAGGGGAGCGGCTCTATGAGTGGAAATCTTACTTTCAGAACAAAGCTCCCTCCAAATCTTTGAAACTCTTCTTGTTATTATATATTTATTTTATGTCAGATATTTAATTTCATAAAATTCATCAACCTTTGAGTATGCTATTTCAGTAAAAACAAATTAAAATTTAGTGTCCTAACGTGTCCGTAGCGTGTCCCAATGCGTCCTAGCGTGTCTGATTCCCTCAAGAGTATGGCTTGTGTCCATGTCCGATATGTGTGACCTCTAGAGAGGTGTCTCTGGTTCATAGTTTTAAGAAGATTTGTATCAGCACACAAGACATATTAGAAAATTAAGGGCGCCTTTTTTGTATCATTTCCAAAATTTGTTTTCTGTTTTCAAAATAGAAAAAACGGAAACTGCCACTGAATTTTTTTTTGATAAATTATTTAATATATATATATATATATATAAGGAAGAAGGAAAAAAAACTATTTTCAGAAAAGTCATCTAAAAAGCACACATTTTTAGGAAACATTTTGAAGGTTTTTGCATTTTTGAAAACCTTTTTTGCACAAAAATGAAAATGATCAGTGTTTTAGAACTTGTCATTGCTTTGTTTTTGAAAACACACAAAAACTATAAAAAAAAATAATAAAAAAGAAGAAGAAATTGATACCAATCAAGGCAAATTGTACATGATGTGATACACTAAGCCTAATGGTGCAAATATATGGTTATGACCACCATGGTAATGAGGCAAGCAGAACAACTTGTCATGATAATGAGAACGCATTTACAACCGCTACAGTAAAGCAACGTGTAGTATAACAACTGCAGTAAGCAGATGTATAGTTTGACCATTGTGGTAAGGAGACGTTCGATATAACCACCCTGGTAGTGAGATGAGCCAGACTCTTGCCTCATGGTATGTCGAGTTAGCGAGTTTCATAGTGATGCAGTTTAGGACTTGGGCAGACAGCGCTATCCATTTGTTGTGACAGAACATGTGAACCATACATGTATCCCTTTAAGGCTAACACGTGTATGTCTAAGGCACGCATGATGAAGGATGGCTAGGGACAGCGCTGTAAAGACTTTAAAGCTGAATTTCTGTGGGTTTTATGTTGACTTAAAGTTGAAAATCAATAGGTTTTTAGGATTTCAATTAATGAAATGAACTAGGTGTAGGATTGATAAATTGGGGTGAAAGAGATCAAAACAGGGGCTGTTATAAGGCTGTGAACAGTGATTTTGGAACAGTAACTTGCTGAATTTTTGAAGAAGAGGAAGAAGAAAGAAGCAAGAGTCTAGGCATCTAGGCATTGTTTCTTCGTCATCTGTGGGTTTTATAGTGGCCTAAAGCTGAAAATCAATAGGAATTGATGTAGGACGGCGTTGGATTTTGAAAATAGAGGCTATTTGATAGCCTAAACAGTAAGTAATTTAGGGTTTTAATGATGAAATTGAAGACTAATAGGTAGGGGAATGGATTAAGGTTGATTTGGAGGTAATTGCATAGGGTTTTGAGGTTGAAAAGTGCACTTTTAGAAGGCTGTGAATAGTAACCCGAGCATAGTGACTAGGGTATGTGTGCAAAGAAGAAGAAAAAGAAGAAGATAAGTATAGGAATCACTACTAGAATCCCTTAGCCATCATACCTATGGTTTGATTGCATCACATAATCTATAAGAGGCTTCAAAAGCTCTGAAATTCTCTAAATTATCAACTTTATTGAATTAATAAAAGTACATAACTTTATATAGAACTAAAAGACTTCCTGAATAGACTAGAACCAAAAAAATACAAAAAAAGAAACTATTGAAACTTTAACCTCCAAAACCAATTTAAGACTAAATAAGAAACATAAATATAACCTAGTTAAATAACTTGACTCACAAGATAACCCATGGGCGACCCCTACAACCCATGTCAGTAAATATGAAAATTATCAGAACATCTTTGACCTAAAAATATTAGAAAGCATAAAAATAATCCTAAAATAAAACTCTAATAATACTAGAAATATGATTTTGTATGACTCCTATTGGTTTTTCTTTCAAATCATGAGCTTCTTTGAATTTACTCTTCCTTAAGCTTCTTACAATTTGCATCAACACGCCATTGCATATGTGTATGTGACACAATAGTAGTTAACACTACCAGATTTTACTCATGTATGACCAACAGATCCAAAGAAGGTCCTTCATCAGCAATCCTTAAGATTAGAATTAGCATGCCCATTCACCCATAAAACTTGACAAAAACATGCAAAGTCAAACAATTGTCTTTCCATGCATACAATCATGAGAGAATAAACATACAATAACACATCCTAGAATAGTAGGCCGCTGAAATGAGAATTGGCTCGTACCTTTTTCTTCTCTTTTCTCTTCAATATTTTAACATGGCATTTCTTGATGTAGTGCATCAAATGATAACGGGAATGCCTCGAGTACAGCTGCTCTTTGATCTCGGGATTCTCCGATAGCCAATCTAAAATATCTTTTGACTTGACCACCTCATCTGTATCTAATGACTCTAACCAGGAATAAACTGGCATCCATTGGTCAGTGCGTTGAAATCGAGCATGATGAGGATCAACCAGAGTAGCATCTTTATCCTGCCAGAGTAAGCAGGACCCTTTACAATTATTACAATATTTTTGTGGGAAATAAAATCCAAAATGTTACCCCAAACCAAAAATAAACACGGAAAACAATAGAAAGCAAAGAGGTAAAACAAGTTGGTAGACATTGCAAAGTTTGCATTTCCTTCAATCATATGAAAGTCATTGATAGAGCATGTTCAAGACCTAAGCCTCCTTTGATACCTTAATCTGCACTGTTTCACATGAATAACAAGGCTAGGTTATTCATTATCAATCCAAATAATAATCCCACTTTCTTCAGACTTCATGTAATATTTAAGTCGTAGAAATAGCACATTCAAAAGTTACATCCCAATATTTGTGCAGTAATAAAAATTGAACTCTTAAAATCATGCACAGATCTCAATGTTTAATAAAAACCCCAAAAAAAAAAAATGCTGTTTACAGGGTATGGAAAATTTGTCAGACAAGACAATACTGTCTTAGACTGCAAAAAATACCAAATTTTGATTTCTTCTCAAAATAGTTGACAAAACATTGATGTAAATAATATGGCTAGTTGCACATTTTCACAAAGAAATACTCTATCATTTTTAAAAATTCACTAATTTTTATAATTTCGGCAAATATAGCAAAAACAAAGTAACATTATTTTCACATTTTCTACACAAAGATTTCAAAAATTATAATTTAATTTTTTTGTCATCTTGTATTCTGTTTAACTCATATCATTAGTTGATATGGTCAAGATTCCAGAATAGGCATTTACATAGATCTTAACACCATAATTCTGACTCCAAGATGCTGAAACTAAGGTACTAGATGATGCAGCTGAATCTTTTTTGTTTTCTTTTTTATTGCAATGTGAATTTTTTTTCTCTCCTTCAAAGAAACAGTGCCTTCAAAGCAATTGTCTAACATCTAACTTAACAGTTAAACAATTCATACAATGCTAGGAACAATATAAATTTGGTTTCTTTACATGTTACAGAGAAAATTAAAGCCTGATCTATGGAGAATTATAACCAACATATGTCATCAACTGCAGGATTGGGAGACAGACGAGTTAATGGGCTGATTAAGAGGCTGTACGGGAAGTCCAGGTCTGGTGAAGATTCTCAAAGATGGAAGTTGATTACAACGGGGTGCTTCCAAGTCAGTCATATTATGAAACATTCACTAGTCACTATAAGTCCTTTATCCCGTGGAAGCTATTTGGAAGACAAAGGCTCCACCCTAAGGTATCCATCTTCGGTGGTGCTCAACCCAAGGCAAAATGCTTATTGTATAGTGTTATTAAAGGTGCGCCTAGGTGTGCTCCTAGGCCCAAGGCTCATCAAGGCGTAGTCAGTGCACTTCAAAACATTTCAGCTTAGGCCAGGTGATGTAAGACAAGCCCCATAAAGGCACAACAAGTGTGCGCTTTAGGCTCAAGCCTAGGCTCAAGGCTCAAAGCGCACAACTTGTGCGCTTCTTTTAAAATGTTTGTTTATTACAATTATAACCCTTGATTTCTCTTTATCTTTTTTTTTTAAAACCCTAAACATACATTGCAACCTAACATTTTTTAAGCCCTAATTATATAAAGGCATTGTCTAGATAGAGCTTCTCTTTGACTAGACTAAGAGTTGCCATTCTTCTTCTTCTTCATTTCCACCATATCCTTCTCTGTTCTTATCTTGTTTGACACTTCGACTTCGTACTATTTTCAATTGTTTATGATTTATAAGTTAGCTATTTGTCTTTATATAAACCTTTCATTTTACTTATGTTGAACCTTGAATTATTTGCTTATATTAAATTAACTACTCCCTCCGTTCCATTTTGTTGGTCCACTATTCCATTTTGGGATGTCCCAAAATGATAGTCCCATTTGAAAAGTCAAAGTAAAAAATATTTGATTTTCCAAAACTACCCCTTTTGAGTAATTATAAATATATTAAAAATTTGAAAAGTTAGGAGCATTAGTGGAAAAATATTTTAAAATTTAAATTCAAGTGTAATGATTGCATGCCCCCTTAAAAAGTTGGAATCCCCAAAAGGGACCAACAATTGGGACGGAGGGAGTATTTTTTATCATCACACATGAGCCTCACTTCGATGAGCTCGCGCCACACCTTGAGGCTAGGCCCTAGGATATCTTGGCGCTTTAGTGCACCTATCACCTTTAATAACATATAATTTGATACAAAGAAAGCATGTGATCATCAACTAGTGTTATTTGAGTAAATAGGATGGGAAGTCAATGGGCCATCTACTTATCCATTCCCATGCAACAAGAGAGCTTTGGACTTCACATTTTTATTTACTTTTCTTTTTTTTTTTGTGTGCGCGTGCGTGTGTCTCCCTCCCCATCCAATGGCCAGAAATAAGTATCTCCCTCTTATCTCATGGTATACATAATCTCATCCATTATTCTAGGTATTACTAATCTAGTCAGTAATCCCTAGGTATTACTTATCTATTCCCGTCAACCAAACGAAGCCTTAATGCCTATTATAATGAAATCTTATTTTACATATTAAAGAAAAATATATGATAAAGGAGAAACTGGTAGCAACAAAAACTCCTCGTCTTGTTGAATTAGCTTAGGCCTTGTTTGGGAATAGGTTATTTTAGTAACTTTCTGGCTTTTTACGAAAAGATGTGCAAAAAAGTAAAGAGAGTGATGTGACAACTTATAGTGGTTTTTTGACTTTTTGGCTAAAATGTATAGTTGACAAACAAAGCCTAAAGGGAAACAAGAAAGAAGGAATCGGAAGTTTGATCTTTTTTTACATATTGACTTGTGAATTTTGTAGTTTATATTGTTCATTAAGGATAGTTTAGTCCTTTAGATTGTTAGAGTTTTATTCTATTAGCATATATATAGTTGTACTCAGTTGATTGATTAAGTGATGTACAAGATTTCTATTCATTCTCTTTTATCATGATATCAGAGCAAAGTTACGATCGAACCTAGGTTATTCTTGGCACCAGAAGTTGCACATCGCAGGTCTGTCGCTAGCTCTTTCTTGCATCGCAGGCATCGACATCGCCAACCTATCGCTGGTTCTCTCTTACATCATCAACCATCGTTTCTGCCCATCTCAGTGCATCGCAAGTCCGTTGTTGGCTCTCTTGCATCATCGACCATCGACATCACTCTCTCTCTCTTCTCGCAAGTGGCTCGAGACTCCTCTCCCTCATCAACCTTCAAAGTGGTTTGATCGTGTACTAGGCTTTACTTGGAATTTTGAGTTCGAAACCCTACGGGTGACTATACGCTTGAGGTTGTGTTGATAAACGATCAGGATTTTTTCTCCGAATGAAGGGAGGTAGCATCTCAAGATTTTCTTCTACTGGTACTGTTCACTTCCTCTATTTATTTGAGTCGTTATTTATGAGCATTTGATGAGATATAGAGATTGCATTTAGAGGAAAATTTGAGGGTTTTCTGTTGATACGTGTCGGAATAGTGAATTGAATTTTAGAAATATAACTGATGATAAATTGCAAGCTATCACTACTAAGTTAAATGGTACCAATTATTCTTATTTGTCTCATGTAATGAAGAATTTTATAATGGGTAAAGGCATGTGGAACTATGTTATTGGTGTAACTATTAGACATATGGAATCCAAAGAAACTAAGGCTGATGTTTCTAAATGGGATAAGGAAAATGCCCAAATTCTTAGTTGGTTTCATAATTCAGTTCAAACTACCATTGGTATGAATTTTTCCAAGTATTCTACTGCTAAATAAGTTTGGAACTATTTGAAAACTATGTACCTTGAGTCTAACTTTGCAAAACAGTATGAACTTGAGATGTCTATTCGCAGTACTAGTCAAAAAGATAAGTCCATTCAGAAATTCTACAATGAGATGACAACTTATTGGGATCAGCTTGCTTTGATGGAACCATTAGATTTGCAGTTACTTGACAGTTATACCAAGTATCGGGAGAAGCAACGTCTTGTTCAGTTTCTTATAGCCCTTCGTGATCAATTTGAGCCACTTCGGGGAGCTATTCTTCATCGGTCTCCCTTGCCTTTTGTTGATGGTGCTATCCGTGAGCTTATTGCGGAAGAAACTCGGTTTAAGGTGGCTCATGGTGCTCCTGCCTCCCAGTCAGTTTTTGTCACTTCTCCGCTCTAGCCTACCCCACCATCTCATTTATTTCAGGTTACTGGTAAGCCCAAGTCTCGGGTTTCCATGGATGAGTGCAGCTTATGTCGTTGGCGAGGTCATTAGAAACATGCTTGTCCTAAACTTTTGCAGCCGAAGGGTCATTCGTTTGTTCCACCATCCTCTAAGCTGCCATCTTCGAGATCTCACTCATCTGCTGCCTTTTCTGCACCAACTCTAAGAATGAGCCGTCTTCCAATATGCAGTCTATGTTTGAGCAATTCAAGTCTTTCATGGTGGCTAATCCAAATCTTTCGTCCCAGGCCTCCGCTATAACTACCACTCAGTTAGGTTTGTCTAGTTCATCCTCTTCAGGCAATATCCACACTTTGTGGATTTTAGATTCTGGTTGTTCACATCATATGACCCGTGTTGCATCTCTCCTTAGTAATTGTGTCTCCCCTTCTTCTTCTGTCACTATTACTACTGCTAATGGTTCTTCTATGCATGTACACTCTATTGGTTCTATTTCCTCTTCCCATTTGTCTTTTTCTCCTGTATTTTATGTGCCTCACCTTTCACTCAGTCTTATTTCTATTAGTCAATTATCTGATTCCGGTTTTGATGTTGTTTTCTCTTCGTCTCACCATTCACTCAGTCTTATTTCTATTAGTCAATTATCTGATTCCGATTTTGATGTTGTTTTCTCTTCTTCTCATTCTGTTGTGCAGGATTGGGTATCCAAGAGGCAGATTGGGATCGGGCGTAGAGTTGGAGAACTGTATATCTTGGACAGCTTGCATATTCCTCCAGAAGTGTCTTCTACTGCATCGTCTTCTTTTTGTTTAAACAATAAGTCTTCTTTATTTTATATTTGGCATTCTAGGTTAGGTCATATGTCGTGTGACCGTTTGAGGATGTTAGTTCGGTCTGGACATTTAGGTAGTTTTCTCATTGATAATATTTCTAAGTGTCGAGGTTGTAAACTAACTAAAATGTCGGCTCTTCCTTTTAATAAAAGTAATTCTATTTCTTCTTCTCCTTTTCATTTGGTTCATACTGATGTTTAGGGTCATTCCCCTATAGTTACCAAGGGTGGTTTGCAATATAATGGGTCTTTTGTGGATGATTATAGTCGGTTTACCTCGGTTTATTTGATGACCTGAAAATCTGATTTTTACAAAATATATTCTAATTTTCACTCCATGATTCGCACTCAGTTTTCCAGCACAATTAAAGTTCTCCGTTCTGATTTGGGGGATGAGTATTACTTGTTTGAGTTTGAGGAGTTTTTAGCTACTCATGGCACTATTCATCAGTCTTCGTGTTCTGACACTCCTGCCCAAAATGGTCGAACTGAGCGCAAACATCGCCATCTCCTTGATACCGCTCGCTCTTTGTTGCTCTCATCTTTTGTCCCTTCTGTTTTCTGGGGAGAAGCTGTGCTCACTACTGCATATCTTCTCAATCAAATGCCTACTCCTCTTCTCTCAGGCTCATCTCCGTATGAGCGCCTTTTTGGTGTTCCTCCCAATTATTCTTTTCTTCGTATTTTCGGTTTTGCATGCTTTGCTTCTTCCTAAACGGGAGCGCTCTAAGCTTAGTTCTCGTTGTGTTCTATGTGTCTTTTTAAGATATGGCATTACTCAGAAAGGTTATCGGTGCTATGATCCTACCACCAAAAAGCTATGTGTCTTGGCATATCACCTTTTTAGAAAAACTACCCTACTACACTATACCTTCCACCCCTGTCCCTATTACCAAGGATGAATTGGTTCACATTGACCCATTTCCTCCTGATGTTTCTCCCGATGAGTTTGTTTTTGATCTTGAGGTCTCTACTTTGCCTCTTACTAGCACTTTTGCTATGTCGCCATGCACTTCCTCTCCCGCTCTCGCTTCCCTTACTCCTCTTCTTGTTTATCAGCCCCACAAAGCCCTTCTGAGCTCGCCTGTCTCTAGCTCTACTGTCCCTCCAGCTGTTTCTTTAGATCCCACTCCTCCTACACACCGCTTTCCAAAGCGTGACCGTCTCCTCCAAACTGATATGGTTTTGGTAATACATGTTTTTCCCTTTCCTATCAATCTTTTCTTTCTTGTCTTAATACTTATTTTGAGCCCAAGTCCTACAAGGAAGCTTGTCATGATCCTAATTGGATTGCTGTCATGAATGACGAGTTAACTGCTTTGGCTAACACTCAGACTTGAGATTTGGTTCCATTACCTGCTGATAAGAATATTGTAGGCTATAAATGAGTCTATAAGGTCAAAACCCTTTCTGATGGTTCTTTGGAACGGTACAAAGCTCGTTTGGTTGCCCAGGGCTTTTCTCAGGAGTATGGGATTGATTATGATGAGACTTTTGTCCCCGTTGCCAAGATAACTACTGTTCGCACTCTTATCTCTGTTGCTGCTGCCCTTCACTAGCCTTTGTTTCAACTCGATGTCAAAAATGCTTTTCTGAATGGGCATCTTGCTAAAGAAGTGTATATGCGCCCTCCACCGGGTCTCTCTCACCCTCCTAGTGTTGTTTGTCATCTTCGTCGTGCTCTACATGGTCTCAAGCAGTCTCTTTGTGCTTGGTATGAGCGCTTTCACTCTGTTGCACTTCAGCTTGGTTTTCGCCCTAGTCATCATGATTGTGCTCTCTTTGTTCGGCACACTTCTATTGGCCTTGTTCTCCTTCTCTTATATGTGGATGATATTATCATTACTGGCTCTGATTATAGTACTATTAAGGAGGTTAAGCATCAGTTGTTTCAGAGGTTCGAGATGAAAGATTTGGGATCTCTTCGGTATTTTCTTGGTATTGAGGTTGCTACTTCTCCTACTGGGTATCTTCTCTCTCAGACTAAATATGCCTGTGATATTCTTTCTCGTGCAAATCTCACTGATGACAAAATTGTTGGCATTCCTCTTGAGTTGCATGCTAAGTTTTTAGCTTCTGATGGCATTCCTCTTGAGGATTCCACTGTGTATCGCGAGTTGGTTGGGTGCCTTGTTTATCTCACCGTTACTCGTCCGGATATCTCCTATGCTGTACACATTCTCAGTCAGTTTGTTTCTGCTCCTCACTCCACACACTGGGCTACCTTACTCCGTACTCTGTGCTACCTTCGTGGCACTTTGTTGCAATGTTTGTTGTTATCTGCCTCTTCGAACTTGACTCTTCGTGCCTATGCTGACGCTGATTGGGCAGGTGACATCTCTAATCGTAAATCCACTTCTGGTCTTTGTGTTTTCCTCAGCGATTCTCTGATATCCTGGAAGAGTAAGAAACAATCTGTTGTTGCTCGTTCCACTGCTGAGGCTGAGTATTGTGCCATGGCTCATGCTACTTCTGAGATCGTTTGGTTTCGGTAGATTCTTTCTAATATGCTATGAAGCACAGGTACTCCAAAAATAGTGCCGCACACGCACCGGGTACGAGTACGCATACCGGTACGGCTGCACGCATACCGGGTACGGCAAAAAGTAGTCGGGTACGTCTGCCTCAGTCGAGTACGGCATGGGTACGCCTTTGGTGCATTTTAGGTACGTCGGGGGCAGAAATCAAATTTTCTGGAGAATTGAGGGGTACCGGAGCAATATTAAGAAAAATTTTAAAAGAGAAAAAAAAAATGTATACACGAATGAAGTTTGTTTTGCCCTAATCTCATCACTTTTGCCCTAATCTCATCAGTTGAGCAACACAGCACCAAGAGGCGACATCGAAGCAAAGAGGCAACGGCGACCCAGCTATTCCCTTCCGGCGACGGCGACGGCGACGCAAGGAGTTCCGGTGAGTCTTCTTCCTCCTCTTCTTCTTCTTCTTCTTCTTCGTCTTCATCTTCTTCTTCTTCTTCTTCGCCTTCTTCTTCGCTGTTTCATCTTCCACCCTCGTCTTCTCTCATCTTCTTCGTTTCTTCTTCTTCATCTCATTTTTTTTTTTTTTTTTTTTTACAGAGATCAGCAAGCATCTATTTTCGTCCCCTGCATATAAGCCATACCTAGCAACCAAGCAACTGGTCAGAATCTCTTCATCTTATTTTTTTTGTTTTTTTTCTTATTTCTTCTTTCTTCTTCAGAGAGGTGTAATCTGATGTTGATGTAGAACCAAAAAAAAAATTAGAGAGGTATAGAACCAAGTTATTCAATCATATTT